TACAGGCTGGGGGCACTAGCAGGGACCCACCTACCATTTTCAGGGTGGCCTCCAAGAGCTCCTCCTCTGTCTTCTGGCGCAGGCAGTGAACCATGACAGCCGAGGTGGTGGTTTTACACCCAGCAGTGACGGCAACTTTCTGCAAAGATCACAGGCAGCAAGAGTTCAAGAGCGACGTCCCTTCGCTCCGTCAAGGTAGAAGATGTGTTCTGTCCCCAGCCCAGTGTGTGAGGCTGCAGGGGGAACAGAAAGTACTCTAGACCAGATGGGTGGGCTCTGGGCCCACAGAGTGCTGCCTCTGTGCCTGATCTGAGTTGTGACATGAGTCATAATTACACACTCCCTCTGTCTGTTATCTTCTCTCTGTTAAAATGGGTGCAATGATCTCAAAGCTGGATGTGTGGTGTGGAGGGGGGTGTAAGAGCATGGACCCCAGTACCACTGTCTGGTTTGAAGCCCAGCTCCTGCATGTACTGGCCACTTGGCCTCAGGAAAACCACTTGCATTCTTTGAGCCTCAGTTTCTCCACCCTTCAATGGGCACAATGATGATCTCACCCACCTTAAGAGCTAATACATGGGCAGAGCGTAGGAGGCTGCCGTGTCTCCCACACACTGAAACACGTGCAGAACTGCAGGAGGCCTGGGTGAGGTGACTCGCACCAAGGAACTTCAGAAAGTACCGAATGGGACTTAAACGGGAGCCTAAAGGCAAGCAGCGCGCACCCATCCTGAGCGTGGACGGTGCTTCTCAGTGAGTGAGGCGTCTACGGCACAGCTAAGAGTTTCCACGTGCACAGTCACGTGCTGGAGTCTTGAGCACCAGCCAGACGCGACTCTCCAGGGCAGGGCTCAGACGTTTTCATCAAATGGAGAAATAGAAAATATCTGTGCTTTTGTGGGCCATGTGATCTGTGTCGCAATTTCTAAACTCTGCAGTCAGAGTTAAATAAATGGGTGTCGCTGTGTTGCAATAAAACTCCACTTACAGACACTGAAATCTGACCTCATATCATTTTCATGGATTGTGAAATATTATTTTTCTTTTGTTTGGTTTCCATTGATTAAAAATTAAAGAAAAATCATTCTTAGCTAAAAGGTCATACTTACC